TTACTTATACACTGTTTCATTTTAACTTAAAGAAAAGTTTACACTACTTTTGTGAATCTGGGAGAAGAGAACTGTGGGTAATGTGGTAAAGGGGGCGGAGTCACAACGCTGAACGGCCGAGAAAATGGCTGAGATTGGGATGCATTTACTGGGCTGTGCAGGGATTGGGGTAAAATAATGAAGCATGCAAGGGCACTGAAATCATATTTGCACACAAATCCAGGGTCAGCTATGCTGCCGTTTTTAGACTCAGGCATTTTGTCTAGTTTCTCTCCAACAAAAGCGGAAGAAACACATTGAAGTCAATGTTGAACAATAACTATGGGGCACTGATTCGAGCTATTGAAAAGCTCCTTATGACAAGCTTTAGCTGCATCTTTTTCGTAAGAACCCCCAAGAAACAACAAAGTCCAACTTCCTGCACAACAAGCAGGTAACCTGAGACGAGGTGGCTGAGTGGCTAGGGTAAAAGACTGCTAATCCCTGGTGCGCTGCTCGCGCGGGTTTGAGTCCCATCCTTGTTGCTCGTCCAACTAAAAGTTAAACCTTCCTCTGGCACAAAGTTGTGCTTACGCATGATGAGGTGGCCGAGTGCTTAGGTTAGTACGCTGTACTCTGCAAGCTTAAATCCCATCCTCGTTGTTTTGGGAGAGGCCACTGCTTCTGTCTAAGGTTTCTTACTTGCACCTCTTAGCGTCTTAAAGGACGTTATGGCAAAAACTTTATGTAATATGTAGCGAAATTAGCGGCAAAAACATACGTACACGCCACAGTCCAGCCTCCATCAGGAAAGCGCATGTATGCGAGAGGAGGGGGCCGAGTGGATAAGGCGATGGCCTGCTAATCCATTGTGCTCTGCATGTGTGCGGTTTAATCCCGTCGTCGTTGTTCATTCAAGAGAGCCCAGTGCTTCCGTGGAAGGTTTCTTACTCTCACCCTCTTAGTGCTTCGAAGCATGTTATGGCAAAATTGAAAGTCATTTGGCCGAAATTAGTTGCAGAAACATACATAAACAAATATGTGCCACAGTCTAGCCTCCCTCAGAAAGGTGGGAACATATGTGACGAGGTGGCCGAGTGGTTAAGGCGATGGACTGCTAATCCATTGTGCTCTGCACGCGTGGGTTCGAATCCCATCCTCGTCGTTTGTTTAGGAGAGGCCGGGGCTTTCATGGAAGGTATCTTACTCGCACCATCTTCGTGCTTGTTATGGCAAATTGGAAAGTCATCTACCGAAGATGGTTGCAGGAACATACATAAATAATTATGTGCCACAGTCCAGGCTCCATCAGGAAAGTGGGAGCCTACGTGACGAGGTGGTCGAGTGGTTAAGGCGATGGACTGCTAACTTATTGTGCTCTGCACGCGTGGGTTCAAATCCCATCCTTGACGTTAAATTGAGAGAGCCAAGTGCTTTCGTGGAAGATGTTTTACTCTCACCCTCTTAGCGTTTTGAAGGAGGTTGTTGCAAGATTTAATTTCATATTTACCAAAAATAGTTGCAAATACTTACATACATGCCACAGCACAGCCCCCACCAGGAAACTGGGTAAATTCATGACGAGGTTGCCAAGCGGTTAAGGGGATGGACTGCTAATCCACGCGTGGGTTCAATCCCATCCTCGTCGTTCAATTTTTCAGAGAGCCTGGTGCTTCCGCTGAAGTTTTCTGACAACATTCTGAAGATTGTCATGGTTCAGGTGAATCCAACCTGCTGCATGTTTAGTGAAACAACTCTGGCGCAAATTGCAGCATGTTCAAGATCCAGACACTCAGCTATTCTTTTGAACAGAACATTGAGCCTTCTAGGAGGCTGTCAAAAATTGCCAGAGCTGACTGTATTTCAAGCCATCTCGGCGGGGTATTGGGTAAAGTTTTCAACCAGCAATGATCACGCCTCGGCTAGGCCTCATAGGCTATGATATTGCCTCTGCGAAAGAATACCAATCTCAACAATGAACTCTTATATCTACCAATCTGGACATGAAACGACAAGGTGGTATCAAACTTTAAACTGCTAGCCATCAGCCTTCTGGCACCAATGAGTGCATGCTGTGTCAGTAGAACAGGTTATTGAAATGCCTAAAAAGAATTACTTATACACTGTTTCATTTTAACTTAAAGAAAAGTTTACACTACTTTTGTGAATCTGGGAGAAGAGAACTGTGGGTAATGTGGTAAAGGGGGCGGAGTCACAACGCTGAACGGCCGAGAAAATGGCTGAGATTGGGATGCATTTACTGGGCTGTGCAGGGATTGGGGTAAAATAATGAAGCATGCAAGGGCACTGAAATCATATTTGCACACAAATCCAGGGTCAGCTATGCTGCCGTTTTTAGACTCAGGCATTTTGTCTAGTTTCTCTCCAACAAAAGCGGAAGAAACACATTGAAGTCAATGTTGAACAATAACTATGGGGCACTGATTCGAGCTATTGAAAAGCTCCTTATGACAAGCTTTAGCTGCATCTTTTTCGTAAGAACCCCCAAGAAACAACAAAGTCCAACTTCCTGCACAACAAGCAGGTAACCTGAGACGAGGTGGCTGAGTGGCTAGGGTAAAAGACTGCTAATCCCTGGTGCTCTGCTCGCGCGGGTTTGAGTCCCATCCTTGTTGCTCGTCCAACTAAAAGTTAAACCTTCCTCTGGCACAAAGTTGTGCTTACGCATGATGAGGTGGCCGAGTGCTTAGGTTAGTACGCTGTACTCTGCAAGCTTAAATCCCATCCTCGTTGTTTTGGGAGAGGCCACTGCTTCTGTCTAAGGTTTCTTACTTGCACCTCTTAGCGTCTTAAAGGACGTTATGGCAAAAACTTTATGTAATATGTAGCGAAATTAGCGGCAAAAACATACGTACACGCCACAGTCCAGCCTCCATCAGGAAAGCGTATGTATGCGAGAGGAGGGGGCCGAGTGGATAAGGCGATGGCCTGCTAATCCATTGTGCTCTGCATGTGTGCGGTTTAATCCCGTCGTCGTTGTTCATTCAAGAGAGCCCAGTGCTTCCGTGGAAGGTTTCTTACTCTCACCCTCTTAGTGCTTCGAAGCATGTTATGGCAAAATTGAAAGTCATTTGGCCGAAATTAGTTGCAGAAACATACATAAACAAATATGTGCCACAGTCTAGCCTCCCTCAGAAAGGTGGGAACATATGTGACGAGGTGGCCGAGTGGTTAAGGCGATGGACTGCTAATCCATTGTGCTCTGCACGCGTGGGTTCGAATCCCATCCTCGTCGTTTGTTTAGGAGAGGCCGGGGCTTTCATGGAAGGTATCTTACTCGCACCATCTTCGTGCTTGTTATGGCAAATTGGAAAGTCATCTACCGAAGATGGTTGCAGGAACATGCATAAATAATTATGTGCCACAGTCCAGGCTCCATCAGGAAAGTGGGAGCCTACGTGACGAGGTGGTCGAGTGGTTAAGGCGATGGACTGCTAACTTATTGTGCTCTGCACGCGTGGGTTCAAATCCCATCCTTGACGTTCAATTGAGAGAGCCAAGTGCTTTCGTGGAAGATGTTTTACTTTCACCCTCTTAGCGTTTTGAAGGAGGTTGTTGCAAGATTTAATTTCATATTTACCAAAAATAGTTGCAAATACTTACATACATGCCACAGCACAGCCCCCACCAGGAAACTGGGTAAATTCATGACGAGGTTGCCAAGCGGTTAAGGGGATGGACTGCTAATCCACGCGTGGGTTCAATCCCATCCTCGTCGTTCAATTTTTCAGAGAGCCTGGTGCTTCCGCTGAAGTTTTCTGACAACATTCTGAAGATTGTCATGGTTCAGGTGAATCCAACCTGCTGCATGTTTAGTAAAACAACTCTGGCGCAAATTGCAGCATGTTCAAGATCCAGACACTCAGCTATTCTTTTGAACAGAACATTGAGCCTTCTAGGAGGCTGTCAAAAATTGCCAGAGCTGACTGTATTTCAAGCCATCTCGGCGGGGTATTGGGTAAAGTTTTCAACCAGCAATGATCACGCCTCGGCTAGGCCTCATAGGCTATGATATTGCCTCTGCGAAAGAATACCAATCTTAACAATGAACTCTTATATCTACCAATCTGGACATGAAACGACAAGGTGGTATCAAACTTTAAACTGCTAGCCATCAGCCTTCTGGCACCAATGAGTGCATGCTGTGTCAGTAGAACAGGTTATTGAAATGCCTAAAAAGAATTACTTATACACTGTTTCATTTTAACTTAAAGAAAAGTTTACACTACTTTTGTGAATCTGGGAGAAGAGAACTGTGGGTAATGTGGTAAAGGAGGCGGAGTCACAACGCTGAACGGCCGAGAAAATGGCTGAGATTGGGATGCATTTACTGGGCTGTGCAGGGATTGGGGTAAAATAGTGAAGCATGCAAGGGCACTGAAATCATATTTGCACACAAATCCAGGGTCAGCTATGCTGCCGTTTTTAGACTCAGGCATTTTGTCTAGTTTCTCTCCAACAAAAGCGGAAGAAACACATTGAAGTCAATGTTGAACAATAACTATGGAGCACTGATTCGAGCTATTGAAAAGCTCCTTATGACAAGCTTTAGCTGCATCTTTTTCGTAAGAACCCCCAAGAAACAACAAAGTCCAACTTCCTGCACAACAAGCAGGTAACCTGAGACGAGGTGGCTGAGTGGCTAGGGTAAAAGACTGCTAATCCCTGGTGCTCTGCTCGCGCGGGTTTGAGTCCCATCCTTGTTGCTCGTCCAACTAAAAGTTAAACCTTCCTCTGGCACAAAGTTGTGCTTACGCATGATGAGGTGGCCGAGTGCTTAGGTTAGTACGCTGTACTCTGCAAGCTTAAATCCCATCCTCGTTGTTTTGGGAGAGGCCACTGCTTCTGTCTAAGGTTTCTTACTTGCACCTCTTAGCGTCTTAAAGGACGTTATGGCAAAAACTTTATGTAATATGTAGCGAAATTAGCGGCAAAAACATACGTACACGCCACAGTCCAGCCTCCATCAGGAAAGCGTATGTATGCGAGAGGAGGGGGCCGAGTGGATAAGGCGATGGCCTGCTAATCCATTGTGCTCTGCATGTGTGCGGTTTAATCCCGTCGTCGTTGTTCATTCAAGAGAGCCCAGTGCTTCCGTGGAAGGTTTCTTACTCTCACCCTCTTAGTGCTTCGAAGCATGTTATGGCAAAATTGAAAGTCATTTGGCCGAAATTAGTTGCAGAAACATACATAAACAAATATGTGCCACAGTCTAGCCTCCCTCAGAAAGGTGGGAACATATGTGACGAGGTGGCCGAGTGGTTAAGGCGATGGACTGCTAATCCATTGTGCTCTGCACGCGTGGGTTCGAATCCCATCCTCGTCGTTTGTTTAGGAGAGGCCGGGGCTTTCATGGAAGGTATCTTACTCGCACCATCTTCGTGCTTGTTATGGCAAATTGGAAAGTCATCTACCGAAGATGGTTGCAGGAACATGCATAAATAATTATGTGCCACAGTCCAGGCTCCATCAGGAAAGTGGGAGCCTACGTGACGAGGTGGTCGAGTGGTTAAGGCGATGGACTGCTAACTTATTGTGCTCTGCACGCGTGGGTTCAAATCCCATCCTTGACGTTCAATTGAGAGAGCCAAGTGCTTTCGTGGAAGATGTTTTACTTTCACCCTCTTAGCGTTTTGAAGGAGGTTGTTGCAAGATTTAATTTCATATTTACCAAAAATAGTTGCAAATACTTACATACATGCCACAGCACAGCCCCCACCAGGAAACTGGGTAAATTCATGACGAGGTTGCCAAGCGGTTAAGGGGATGGACTGCTAATCCACGCGTGGGTTCAATCCCATCCTCGTCGTTCAATTTTTCAGAGAGCCTGGTGCTTCCGCTGAAGTTTTCTGACAACATTCTGAAGATTGTCATGGTTCAGGTGAATCCAACCTGCTGCATGTTTAGTGAAACAACTCTGGCGCAAATTGCAGCATGTTCAAGATCCAGACACTCAGCTATTCTTTTGAACAGAACATTGAGCCTTCTAGGAGGCTGTCAAAAATTGCCAGAGCTGACTGTATTTCAAGCCATCTCGGCGGGGTATTGGGTAAAGTTTTCAACCAGCAATGATCACGCCTCGGCTAGGCCTCATAGGCTATGATATTGCCTCTGCGAAAGAATACCAATCTCAACAATGAACTCTTATATCTACCAATCTGGACATGAAACGACAAGGTGGTATCAAACTTTAAACTGCTAGCCATCAGCCTTCTGGCACCAATGAGTGCATGCTGTGTCAGTAGAACAGGTTATTGAAATGCCTAAAAAGAATTACTTATACACTGTTTCATTTTAACTTAAAGAAAAGTTTACACTACTTTTGTGAATCTGGGAGAAGAGAACTGTGGGTAATGTGGTAAAGGGGGCGGAGTCACAACGCTGAACGGCCGAGAAAATGGCTGAGATTGGGATGCATTTACTGGGCTGTGCAGGGATTGGGGTAAAATAATGAAGCATGCAAGGGCACTGAAATCATATTTGCACACAAATCCAGGGTCAGCTATGCTGCCGTTTTTAGACTCAGGCATTTTGTCTAGTTTCTCTCCAACAAAAGCGGAAGAAACACATTGAAGTCAATGTTGAACAATAACTATGGGGCACTGATTCGAGCTATTGAAAAGCTCCTTATGACAAGCTTTAGCTGCATCTTTTTCGTAAGAACCCCCAAGAAACAACAAAGTCCAACTTCCTGCACAACAAGCAGGTAACCTGAGACGAGGTGGCTGAGTGGCTAGGGTAAAAGACTGCTAATCCCTGGTGCTCTGCTCGCGCGGGTTTGAGTCCCATCCTTGTTGCTCGTCCAACTAAAAGTTAAACCTTCCTCTGGCACAAAGTTGTGCTTACGCATGATGAGGTGGCCGAGTGCTTAGGTTAGTACGCTGTACTCTGCAAGCTTAAATCCCATCCTCGTTGTTTTGGGAGAGGCCACTGCTTCTGTCTAAGGTTTCTTACTTGCACCTCTTAGCGTCTTAAAGGACGTTATGGCAAAAACTTTATGTAATATGTAGCGAAATTAGCGGCAAAAACATACGTACACGCCACAGTCCAGCCTCCATCAGGAAAGCGTATGTATGCGAGAGGAGGGGGCCGAGTGGATAAGGCGATGGCCTGCTAATCCATTGTGCTCTGCATGTGTGCGGTTTAATCCCGTCGTCGTTGTTCATTCAAGAGAGCCCAGTGCTTCCGTGGAAGGTTTCTTACTCTCACCCTCTTAGTGCTTCGAAGCATGTTATGGCAAAATTGAAAGTCATTTGGCCGAAATTAGTTGCAGAAACATACATAAACAAATATGTGCCACAGTCTAGCCTCCCTCAGAAAGGTGGGAACATATGTGACGAGGTGGCCGAGTGGTTAAGGCGATGGACTGCTAATCCATTGTGCTCTGCACGCGTGGGTTCGAATCCCATCCTCGTCGTTTGTTTAGGAGAGGCCGGGGCTTTCATGGAAGGTATCTTACTCGCACCATCTTCGTGCTTGTTATGGCAAATTGGAAAGTCATCTACCGAAGATGGTTGCAGGAACATACATAAATAATTATGTGCCACAGTCCAAGGCGATGGCCTGCTAATCCATTGTGCTCTGCATGTGTGCGGTTTAATCCCGTCGTCGTTGTTCATTCAAGAGAGCCCAGTGCTTCCGTGGAAGGTTTCTTACTCTCACCCTCTTAGTGCTTCGAAGCATGTTATGGCAAAATTGAAAGTCATTTGGCCGAAATTAGTTGCAGAAACATACATAAACAAATATGTGCCACAGTCTAGCCTCCCTCAGAAAGGTGGGAACATATGTGACGAGGTGGCCGAGTGGTTAAGGCGATGGACTGCTAATCCATTGTGCTCTGCACGCGTGGGTTCGAATCCCATCCTCGTCGTTTGTTTAGGAGAGGCCGGGGCTTTCATGGAAGGTATCTTACTCGCACCATCTTCGTGCTTGTTATGGCAAATTGGAAAGTCATCTACCGAAGATGGTTGCAGGAACATGCATAAATAATTATGTGCCACAGTCCAGGCTCCATCAGGAAAGTGGGAGCCTACGTGACGAGGTGGTCGAGTGGTTAAGGCGATGGACTGCTAACTTATTGTGCTCTGCACGCGTGGGTTCAAATCCCATCCTTGACGTTCAATTGAGAGAGCCAAGTGCTTTCGTGGAAGATGTTTTACTCTCACCCTCTTAGCGTTTTGAAGGAGGTTGTTGCAAGATTTAATTTCATATTTACCAAAAATAGTTGCAAATACTTACATACATGCCACAGCACAGCCCCCACCAGGAAACTGGGTAAATTCATGACGAGGTTGCCAAGCGGTTAAGGGGATGGACTGCTAATCCACGCGTGGGTTCAATCCCATCCTCGTCGTTCAATTTTTCAGAGAGCCTGGTGCTTCCGCTGAAGTTTTCTGACAACATTCTGAAGATTGTCATGGTTCAGGTGAATCCAACCTGCTGCATGTTTAGTGAAACAACTCTGGCGCAAATTGCAGCATGTTCAAGATCCAGACACTCAGCTATTCTTTTGAACAGAACATTGAGCCTTCTAGGAGGCTGTCAAAAATTGCCAGAGCTGACTGTATTTCAAGCCATCTCGGCGGGGTATTGGGTAAAGTTTTCAACCAGCAATGATCACGCCTCGGCTAGGCCTCATAGGCTATGATATTGCCTCTGCGAAAGAATACCAATCTCAACAATGAACTCTTATATCTACCAATCTGGACATGAAACGACAAGGTGGTATCAAACTTTAAACTGCTAGCCATCAGCCTTCTGGCACCAATGAGTGCATGCTGTGTCAGTAGAACAGGTTACTTGCACCTCTTAGCGTCTTAAAGGACGTTATGGCAAAAACTTTATGTAATATGTAGCGAAATTAGCGGCAAAAACATACGTACACGCCACAGTCCAGCCTCCATCAGGAAAGCGCATGTATGCGAGAGGAGGGGGCCGAGTGGATAAGGCGATGGCCTGCTAATCCATTGTGCTCTGCATGTGTGCGGTTTAATCCCGTCGTCGTTGTTCATTCAAGAGAGCCCAGTGCTTCCGTGGAAGGTTTCTTACTCTCACCCTCTTAGTGCTTCGAAGCATGTTATGGCAAAATTGAAAGTCATTTGGCCGAAATTAGTTGCAGAAACATACATAAACAAATATGTGCCACAGTCTAGACTCCCTCAGAAAGGTGGGAACATATGTGACGAGGTGGCCGAGTGGTTAAGGCGATGGACTGCTAATCCATTGTGCTCTGCACGCGTGGGTTCGAATCCCATCCTCGTCGTTTGTTTAGGAGAGGCCGGGGCTTTCATGGAAGGTATCTTACTCGCACCATCTTCATGCTTGTTATGGCAAATTGGAAAGTCATCTACCGAAGATGGTTGCAGGAACATACATAAATAATTATGTGCCACAGTCCAGGCTCCATCAGGAAAGTGGGAGCCTACGTGACGAGGTGGTCGAGTGGTTAAGGCGATGGACTGCTAACTTATTGTGCTCTGCACGCGTGGGTTCAAATCCCATCCTTGACGTTCAATTGAGAGAGCCAAGTGCTTTCGTGGAAGATGTTTTACTCTCACCCTCTTAGCGTTTTGAAGGAGGTTGTTGCAAGATTTAATTTCATATTTACCAAAAATAGTTGCAAATACTTACATACATGCCACAGCACAGCCCCCACCAGGAAACTGGGTAAATTCATGACGAGGTTGCCAAGCGGTTAAGGGGATGGACTGCTAATCCACGCGTGGGTTCAATCCCATCCTCGTCGTTCAATTTTTCAGAGAGCCTGGTGCTTCCGCTGAAGTTTTCTGACAACATTCTGAAGATTGTCATGGTTCAGGTGAATCCAACCTGCTGCATGTTTAGTGAAACAACTCTGGCGCAAATTGCAGCATGTTCAAGATCCAGACACTCAGCTATTCTTTTGAACAGAACATTGAGCCTTCTAGGAGGCTGTCAAAAATTGCCAGAGCTGACTGTATTTCAAGCCATCTCGGCGGGGTATTGGGTAAAGTTTTCAACCAGCAATGATCACGCCTCGGCTAGGCCTCATAGGCTATGATATTGCCTCTGCGAAAGAATACCAATCTCAACAATGAACTCTTATATCTACCAATCTGGACATGAAACGACAAGGTGGTATCAAACTTTAAACGGCTAGCCATCAGCCTTCTGGCACCAATGAGTGCATGCTGTGTCAGTAGAACAGGTTATTGAAATGCCTAAAAAGAATTACTTATACACTGTTTCATTTTAACTTAAAGAAAAGTTTACACTACTTTTGTGAATCTGGGAGAAGAGAACTGTGGGTAATGTGGTAAAGGGGGCGGAGTCACAACGCTGAACGGCCGAGAAAATGGCTGAGATTGGGATGCATTTACTGGGCTGTGCAGGGATTGGGGTAAAATAATGAAGCATGCAAGGGCACTGAAATCATATTTGCACACAAATCCAGGGTCAGCTATGCTGCCGTTTTTAGACTCAGGCATTTTGTCTAGTTTCTCTCCAACAAAACCGGAAGAAACACATTGAAGTCAATGTTGAACAATAACTATGGGGCACTGATTCGAGCTATTGAAAAGCTCCTTATGACAAGCTTTAGCTGCATCTTTTTCGTAAGAACCCCCAAGAAACAACAAAGTCCAACTTCCTGCACAACAAGCAGGTAACCTGAGACGAGGTGGCTGAGTGGCTAGGGTAAAAGATATTTGCACACAAATCCAGGGTCAGCTATGCTGCCGTTTTTAGACTCAGGCATTTTGTCTAGTTTCTCTCCAACAAAACCGGAAGAAACACATTGAAGTCAATGTTGAACAATAACTATGGGGCACTGATTCGAGCTATTGAAAAGCTCCTTATGACAAGCTTTAGCTGCATCTTTTTCGTAAGAACCCCCAAGAAACAACAAAGTCCAACTTCCTGCACAACAAGCAGGTAACCTGAGACGAGGTGGCTGAGTGGCTAGGGTAAAAGACTGCTAATCCCTGGTGCTCTGCTCGCGCGGGTTTGAATCCCATCCTTGTTGCTCGTCCAACTAAAAGTTAAACCTTCCTCTGGCACAAAGTTGTGCTTACGCATGATGAGGTGGCCGAGTGCTTAGGTTAGTACGCTGTACTCTGCAAGCTTAAATCCCATCCTCGTTGTTTTGGGAGAGGCCACTGCTTCTGTCTAAGGTTTCTTACTTGCACCTCTTAGCGTCTTAAAGGACGTTATGGCAAAAACTTTATGTAATATGTAGCGAAATTAGCGGCAAAAACATACGTACACGCCACAGTCCAGCCTCCATCAGGAAAGCGCATGTATGCGAGAGGAGGGGGCCGAGTGGATAAGGCGATGGCCTGCTAATCCATTGTGCTCTGCATGTGTGCGGTTTAATCCCGTCGTCGTTGTTCATTCAAGAGAGCCCAGTGCTTCCGTGGAAGGTTTCTTACTCTCACCCTCTTAGTGCTTCGAAGCATGTTATGGCAAAATTGAAAGTCATTTGGCCGAAATTAGTTGCAGAAACATACATAAACAAATATGTGCCACAGTCTAGCCTCCCTCAGAAAGGTGGGAACATATGTGACGAGGTGGCCGAGTGGTTAAGGCGATGGACTGCTAATCCATTGTGCTCTGCACGCGTGGGTTCGAATCCCATCCTCGTCGTTTGTTTAGGAGAGGCCGGGGCTTTCATGGAAGGTATCTTACTCGCACCATCTTCGTGCTTGTTATGGCTAATTGGAAAGTCATCTACCGAAGATGGTTGCAGGAACATACATAAATAATTATGTGCCACAGTCCAGGCTCCATCAGGAAAGTGGGAGCCTACGTGACGAGGTGGTCGAGTGGTTAAGGCGATGGACTGCTAACTTATTGTGCTCTGCACGCGTGGGTTCAAATCCCATCCTTGACGTTCAATTGAGAGAGCCAAGTGTTTTCGTGGAAGATGTTTTACTCTCACCCTCTTAGCGTTTTGAAGGAGGTTGTTGCAAGATTTAATTTCATATTTACCAAAAATAGTTGCAAATACTTACATACATGCCACAGCACAGCCCCCACCAGGAAACTGGGTAAATTCATGACGAGGTTGCCAAGCGGTTAAGGGGATGGACTGCTAATCCACGCGTGGGTTCAATCCCATCCTCGTCGTTCAATTTTTCAGAGAGCCTGGTGCTTCCGCTGAAGTTTTCTGACAACATTCTGAAGATTGTCATGGTTCAGGTGAATCCAACCTGCTGCATGTTTAGTGAAACAACTCTGGCGCAAATTGCAGCATGTTCAAGATCCAGACACTCAGCTATTCTTTTGAACAGAACATTGAGCCTTCTAGGAGGCTGTCAAAAATTGCCAGAGCTGACTGTATTTCAAGCCATCTCGGCGGGGTATTGGGTAAAGTTTTCAACCAGCAATGATCACGCCTCGGCTAGGCCTCATAGGCTATGATATTGCCTCTGCGAAAGAATACCAATCTCAACAATGAACTCTTATATCTACCAATCTGGACATGAAACGACAAGGTGGTATCAAACTTTAAACGGCTAGCCATCAGCCTTCTGGCACCAATGAGTGCATGCTGTGTCAGTAGAACAGGTTATTGAAATGCCTAAAAAGAATTACTTATACACTGTTTCATTTTAACTTAAAGAAAAGTTTACACTACTTTTGTGAATCTGGGAGAAGAGAACTGTGGGTAATGTGGTAAAGGGGGCGGAGTCACAACGCTGAACGGCCGAGAAAATGGCTGAGATTGGGATGCATTTACTGGGCTGTGCAGGGATTGGGGTAAAATAATGAAGCATGCAAGGGCACTGAAATCATATTTGCACACAAATCCAGGGTCAGCTATGCTGCCGTTTTTAGACTCAGGCATTTTGTCTAGTTTCTCTCCAACAAAACCGGAAGAAACACATTGAAGTCAATGTTGAACAATAACTATGGGGCACTGATTCGAGCTATTGAAAAGCTCCTTATGACAAGCTTTAGCTGCATCTTTTTCGTAAGAACCCCCAAGAAACAACAAAGTCCAACTTCCTGCACAACAAGCAGGTAACCTGAGACGAGGTGGCTGAGTGGCTAGGGTAAAAGACTGCTAATCCCTGGTGCGCTGCTCGCGCGGGTTTGAGTCCCATCCTTGTTGCTCGTCCAACTAAAAGTTAAACCTTCCTCTGGCACAAAGTTGTGCTTACGCATGATGAGGTGGCCGAGTGCTTAGGTTAGTACGCTGTACTCTGCAAGCTTAAATCCCATCCTCGTTGTTTTGGGAGAGGCCACTGCTTCTGTCTAAGGTTTCTTACTTGCACCTCTTAGCGTCTTAAAGGACGTTATGGCAAAAACTTTATGTAATATGTAGCGAAATTAGCGGCAAAAACATACGTACACGCCACAGTCCAGCCTCCATCAGGAAAGCGCATGTATGCGAGAGGAGGGGGCCGAGTGGATAAGGCGATGGCCTGCTAATCCATTGTGCTCTGCATGTGTGCGGTTTAATCCCGTCGTCGTTGTTCATTCAAGAGAGCCCAGTGCTTCCGTGGAAGGTTTCTTACTCTCACCCTCTTAGTGCTTCGAAGCATGTTATGGCAAAATTGAAAGTCATTTGGCCGAAATTAGTTGCAGAAACATACATAAACAAATATGTGCCACAGTCTAGCCTCCCTCAGAAAGGTGGGAACATATGTGACGAGGTGGCCGAGTGGTTAAGGCGATGGACTGCTAATCCATTGTGCTCTGCACGCGTGGGTTCGAATCCCATCCTCGTCGTTTGTTTAGGAGAGGCCGGGGCTTTCATGGAAGGTATCTTACTCGCACCATCTTCGTGCTTGTTATGGCAAATTGGAAAGTCATCTACCGAAGATGGTTGCAGGAACATACATAAATAATTATGTGCCACAGTCCAGGCTCCATCAGGAAAGTGGGAGCCTACGTGACGAGGTGGTCGAGTGGTTAAGGCGATGGACTGCTAACTTATTGTGCTCTGCCCGCGTGGGTTCAAATCCCATCCTTGACGTTCAATTGAGAGAGCCAAGTGCTTTCGTGGAAGATGTTTTACTCTCACCCTCTTAGCGTTTTGAAGGAGGTTGTTGCAAGATTTAATTTCATATTTACCAAAAATAGTTGCAAATACTTACATACATGCCACAGCACAGCCCCCACCAGGAAACTGGGTAAATTCATGACGAGGTTGCCAAGCGGTTAAGGGGATGGACTGCTAATCCACGCGTGGGTTCAATCCCATCCTCGTCGTTCAATTTTTCAGAGAGCCTGGTGCTTCCGCTGAAGTTTTCTGACAACATTCTGAAGATTGTCATGGTTCAGGTGAATCCAACCTGCTGCATGTTTAGTGAAACAACTCTGGCGCAAATTGCAGCATGTTCAAGATCCAGACACTCAGCTATTCTTTTGAACAGAACATTGAGCCTTCTAGGAGGCTGTCAAAAATTGCCAGAGCTGACTGTATTTCAAGCCATCTCGGCGGGGTATTGGGTAAAGTTTTCAACCAGCAATGATCACGCCTCGGCTAGGCCTCATAGGCTATGATATTGCCTCTGCGAAAGAATACCAATCTCAACAATGAACTCTTATATTTACCAATCTGGACATGAAACGACAAGGTGGTATCAAACTTTAAACTGCTAGCCATCAGCCTTCTGGCACCAATGAGTGCATGCTGTGTCAGTAGAACAGGTTATTGAAATGCCTAAAAAGAATTACTTATACACTGTTTCATTTTAACTTAAAGAAAAGTTTACACTACTTTTGTGAATCTGGGAGAAGAGAACTGTGGGTAATGTGGTAAAGGGGGCGGAGTCACAACGCTGAACGGCCGAGAAAATGGCTGAGATTGGGATGCATTTACTGGGCTGTGCAGGGATTGGGGTAAAATAATGAAGCATGCAAGGGCACTGAAATCATATTTGCACACAAATCCAGGGTCAGCTATGCTGCCGTTTTTAGACTCAGGCATTTTGTCTAGTTTCTCTCCAACAAAACCGGAAGAAACACATTGAAGTCAATGTTGAACAATAACTATGGGGCACTGATTCGAGCTATTGAAAAGCTCCTTATGACAAGCTTTAGCTGCATCTTTTTCGTAAGAACCCCCAAGAAACAACAAAGTCCAACTTCCTGCACAACAAGCAGGTAACCTGAGACGAGGTGGCTGAGTGGCTAGGGTAAAAGACTGCTAATCCCTGGTGAGCTGCTCGCGCGGGTTTGAGTCCCATCCTTGTTGCTC